GGTCTATTTTTTCTTGTTTTATATCTCTGGAGGAACATCATTGAGCAAGGGATGTGTTGATGCCCAAAGAGCAAAAAGGATTATCTTACGAAGCCAATATTACATAGGCTCCAGTCCATGTGAGTGGTTCTAGTTACTTACTCTTACCACCCATCCCTACTTGAAACCATCTGCACTACATATTTTTCTGTTTTTCTCTTTTTATATGTATCCCCAAGTGTCTATCCCCAAGTGTGTTATTGTATTAATGGGGTAAGTGTAGCCCTCTACTATTTTATGTTTTCATTTATATAGCCCTCCATTGCTGGTATATATAATCTATACCATTGTTTTCAGTATTCTTGACAGTCATTAACAAGGATAAAACCCAGTAATCAAAAAAGACTTACCGTGAAGTCAACTTACCCAGAAAAGACCAAACCTCCAGGGATGGGAGGGAGGGATAATAATAGTCTCTGTGTGATTAATAAAATCATGACTTTACGTCATGTTAAAAGTAATATCTGTGAAGTTTATTAAGACACGGAGGCTCCTATTATGCTAGTATTAAGCTGTGAAATTAGTAGAAATCATTAAATGTAGACTCCGAAGACCAGCCGCTATCATAATATCGTCCAAGCGACAACCAATCGAGGTAGCCTTAGAAGCCATTGTCCCAAGAACTGAATGAGGTGCAAACACATAGGTATCAATACCTGCTAGAGATATAACATATATGACCCACCAGGCTAGGGTAGACACCGGAAAATGCAACTTTTGGAAGAAGATAAAGAGTTCCTGTTTCAAAGGATTCCGTAACGTAGTGGAACAAAGTTCTTACTCCCATAAGTATGCAACAGGGCAAAGAGAGAGAGATCTATTAGGGAAAGCTGGGTATAAGCTGGGTATAAAATTATTTTAGAGGAGGTTTTTGTCCTCCGAGAAATGTCAAAGCAGACACCTTGTGGAGTAAAGGAACAAACAACCACATCAAGAGCTAGTACGTCAGAAACCCTCTTGCAAGAAAAAAATTCAAGACAATAAAGATGTCCCACAAGACAGAGTATCACGTAAAGGGTGGATGAGCAAAACAAATTCCTCAGAGAAGCCGACATATGACAGGATGTCAACCAACATGCGTCCAATCGAAACTCAATTCTCCTTTTGCTCATTGCCCTGTCGTGGTTTTATCCTGATGGTAAGCAGAGAGTGCGTTCCTAATCTAGATTTTCTGGTATTTGACTTTGGCTTTGTTTTGACTTCCCTGAATTCTGGTATCCTTGACTTTTTGTCAGGATTACAGTATGATCCAGCATGTAGAATTGTGTAACACAGAGGACTGATAGGTAACGTATACCAGTGAAAAATCAAAGCGGACACCTTGTGGAGTAAAGGAACGAGCAACCACATCAAGAGCTAGTACATCAGAAACCCTCTTGCAAGAAAAAAATTTAAGACAATAAAGATGTCCAACAAGACAGAGTATCGTGGTAAGGGTGGATGAGCAAAACAAATTCTTCAGAGAAGCCGACATATGACAGGAGGTCAACCAACAGGCGTCCAATTGAAACTTTGATGACCAGCAGAAACGGATGATCAGTTAGGTTCACAGTGCGATAGGCTTAACCTTCATCATACAGAGAAGTCAGAAAATGGAGGACAGACATAAAAAGGAGCCGATATGGGATCCAAATTTAATTTCATGCACCAACCTTGCCATCTGCTCCAAGCAGAAGTATAAGCCTGTCTGGTGTCGGGTGCCCATGCACCCTCGATAAGTCGGAGAGCTGATTGCGAAACTCCCTCGACCGACCAAGGTGCCCTGAAATCAACCACACTATGAGATGCAAGAGACCTTGGAGGCAGACCATCTGGATCCTGAAGAAGGCACTTGAGAGATGGAAGGAGACATAGAAAGGTTGATAGCCATCTCCTGAAGAGGAGGGAACTATGGTTGGGATGACTATAGAGGAGCCATGATCACCAGGTGACGTAGATGGAAAAGGCAACGGGGAATCAGTGCAAAGGGTGGAAAAGCATATTTCCTTGAAGAAGACTTCTTGGGGAAAAAACATTCGTAGCCAGTGCTGTTGGATCTGATCTCCAACTGAAAAAAACGGGGAAGTTGAGCATTCAAACGAGAAGCGAAAAGGTCTATTTCCAATAATAATAACAACAAATTATTTAACCAGAAAAGATACATTCAGATTACTCTGGTTTTCAAGTACATGCTGGGGATGTTACCGTACATCCAGGGGTTGTTACTATTACCCAATTTAATGGTGCTCATTTTATCTACTTCGGAAGGATGAAGGGCTGATTCAACCTGGGATTTGAACCTGTGACCCAAGGGTTGAACAGATTCTATTGATGATGCATTAGCACACTGAGCTATCCTGGTAATTGTTTTGGGGTCAAACGTCGGTCATGGCCAATCAGATCCATAGGAGGGTATGTGCTGAGCAGCAATCATGCACATGGAAACCTGGTAATTGCTTTTGGGATCAAAGGTTGGTTACAGCCAATGGGATGAGTATTTAAACTCAATTCTTCTTTTGCTCATTGCCCTGTCGTGGTTTTATCCTGATGGTAAGCCAAGAGTGCGTTTCTAATCTAGATTTTCTGGTATTTGATTTTGGCTTCGTTTTGACTTCCCTGAATTCTGGTATCCTTGACTTTTACAGTATAATCCAGCATGTAGAATTGTGTAACACAGAGGACTGATAGGTAACGTATACCGGACCTTAGAATGGCCGGACTAACGTACCAAAGAATAGTCAGGAATAGCCGAGGTCAAGGGACACAGAAAGAGACACAACGATAAGGAAAAGCCAGGGGTCAGGGATGCCAGAAAACAGGGAAGTCAAAATCAATGCCAAAGTCAAAATACCAGAATAACCAGAATCAATAACGCGCTTTCAGACAACCACAAGGGAAACCACGACAGGGCACTGAGTAAGAGGAGAACTGGGCCTAAATACCCCACCTGTGGATCTGATTGGTTGTAACCGGCCTTTGACCCCAAAGGCAGTTACCAGTTTCCTATTTGCATGATTGCTGCTCAGCACAAACCCTCCTGTGGATTGATTGCTGCTTGGCACAACTTTTCCTGTCAGGACAGCAATGTTGCCCAGCACAACTTTTCCTGCCAGAACAGTAAATGAAATTAATCACATTTCCATGTGCGGATGAATATGTGACACTTTTGGCTTTTCCTCATCGTTGTGTCTGATTATGTGTTCCTGACCTCGGCAAGTATTTTGACTATTCTTGGATACGTTAAGTCCGGCCATTCTAAGGTCCTTAGTCTTAGTCCTAGGTGTGACACAGTTCTGCGTGCTGGATCAACTTGTAATCCTGACACCCATAGGTTCCAGATGTCTTGGAAGACTGTGGAATCCAAGTGCCAGTCACTGGAATCTCTGAGTTGGCATGAATACCAGTCCGCCGTAGTGTTGGAGAGACCTTGAATATATTCTACTATGAGTGAAATGCCGTACATCAGGCAAAATTGCCAGAAATCGCAAGCCATGTAGGTCAGAATTTTGTATTTTGTGTCTCCAAGTGATTGATGTAGTATACAACTGACACGTTGTCCATCTTCAGAAAGATAGTGCATTGGGCTTGGTCTGCATCTCGTTGGGAAAAAAACTATTTCCCTCAATGGGGAACATTGAACAGGTAGAGAAAGGAGACAGTGTGAAGAACATAAGCATCTTAAGAAATGAGGGACCATATATGGGAAAAATGTGCGAGCCTGCCCCCCACTATCAGTAGGGAAGAATAAAGATTGTGAAGACTTACCATAAGGGCTTCATCCTGAAGGAGCACCTCTTGGGCCACTAACAACCTAGGGTCGACCATGTAGTGGGAAGAAGGTTGGTATAGTGCATTGTTCAAAGAAATTGGCTCAGCCAGTATAAGAGCCTTGGTTCTGTCTAAAAGAACTTCTGTTTATTCAGCTGGACAGATGGCTCCTTGCTTTTGTTGCCGCAGCAAAAACTCTACGGTTAAATAGCTTGCGCATCTTGGATTGCATTTTATCTAGAGCAGTCAATGTGTGGTCAAAGGAGCCCAATTCTTTTACAAAGTTGTCCCTAAAGAGAAAGCCTTTTGCCTGTGTGTCCGGCTTGTTCAGAGCCATAGTTCCACATTTGGGCTTAATCTCGAGCAAGATCGATTTGCGGCGTTCTGTGACACCCGCATTGTTGGCATTGCCAACTTAAATCACTCTCTGGATCTAACCACGTAAGATGGCACGATCTAATTCTAGATCATCCTCTACTGCTTCAATGTTCTTGGCTGCTGGGCAAGGATTTTATCCTGACAGTTTGCAATGAAAATCTAAGCCTTTAGTAGGTTTCCATCATGTCTTGGAATTGAATGATTTTAGGATCGACTGATAGCGTTTTATATGTGTCATCAGGGACTGTTCGGCATAGGCATTCAGCCCGCAATTTATTTCACTTTGCATTCTCAGAGGTCTTGCATACTCTGGATGCAATATACTTGGCTATGTGGTCTGAGGAGACCACTGGGTGACATAGTTTGTCAGGTACGAATAGGGGTTCACCTTGGGTGTCCAAGATCCTATCGGTGTCCCCAGAGGCTGCATGATCTACCTCAATCTTGGTAGATTTAATAGGACGTGTATCCCGCACGTGATTAGTATCCTCTCCATCAGTAATTTCATAATCAGAATCAGAAAGATCCTCTGAACCCTCCATATAGGACTCAGGAAACTCCTCCTCAATATCACTTGGCTCAGATTCAGAGTTCAGTTGGGCTTTTGCCCTTTTCCAAAGTCTAGTCGATTTTGCCCAACTAGTGGCTCTTTTGCGCGATGGTAAATTAATCGTGCCATCCGTAACAGGTATGGTACTGTCCATCTCTATTGTTTTAAAGGAGCCTTATATGAGGTCTTGCGGCCAGGCAGAAGCAGAGCAGGTGTGAATACAGGTACTGCCGCCTAAGTAGTTGGCTGAGCCGATTTCTGTGCCTCTGTAACAGGGTCTGGGCAAATGTCTGTAAAAAGTGAATCAGTCATAACCTCCATCACTGACACCTGGGCCTTCGTCATTGCTTTTGCCATGGAAGCGTTAATTAAAGCCTGCATATCAGCAGAAGCAGTAAAATCAGCAGAAAAATCAGACCCATCTCCAGATATACCCGGAGAGGCTTCTAAAGTAATCTGAATGTTTGCTGTAGTCCCAGAAGGCACAAAAAGATCCTGTCAGATTGTATAATAAATATACAGACAACCCTAAGGGAATGAATAAAGTAAACTAATACCTAAGGAAAGGGTTGAGTAACCCTGAAGTAAAAAATAAAATAAATAAATAAACAGGATAAAGAAATGAAAGTACTCACAATAGTGAAAAAAATAGCAATTGGAATAGGAAAACGCAGGAGCTGTTGGGCCGCCACTATAAATAAACCCCAACTTAGATTTCTGGCAGTTGGGATCAGAGCAGCGGCCAGACATATGAATGAAGGGGAAAAACAGCGCGATAGCGCCGTGCAGGGGATAAAGATCCTCAAAGATGTCCCTGAGCCCCAATAGATGGTAATCTTGGGGCCAGTGAGGTCAGAGGGGAAAAAAAATATTAAAGGATATACAATAAAGCAAATAAAGTAAATAAATCAAATTAAGTTAAAATGAAGTAACTAAATATATTTATAAATATGAAAATATTATAATTAAAATTTAATAACTATAATAATAACAATTATATAAACCACCGTTATGATATGAATAAAAGTAAAAAAAATCCCACAGGTAAGAACCATGGGACCCAGTGTCACTTAACTGAGGTAGCAGCAAAGAAAGAGGAAGTAGTATACTGGGCACTGCCTATTATGATATGAAGAGGATGCTGATTGGCTGTTCCTGTTGCTAGGAGAATATACGTTGTTTACTGGTTTCTTTTTATACTGATTAAATGTTATTTTTCTTTGGAGCTGAGGGAAATAAAGAAAGATTGCAGCATAATAGGAGCCTCTGTGTCTTAATACAATTAGTAAATTTGATATATTTAGACTGAAATTGCCTAACTGAAAAAAAATAAAACAAATTGGATATTTTAGACTAAACCTTGCAATTCCCTGCTTTGTGAATAAACTCTTTTTCAAGTAATTTTACAGATCAAAGCTACGGTTTAAATGGTTATTGCTTAAGTATTGGTTTTTGTGATTTTTCAAATGTTAAGCTGTTAGATTGCCCTTACCTTTCCAGCCCACTTTAAAACCTGATGCTATGGCAGTGTTCCAAATAGAACCCAAAGCTCTAAGAGACCAGAGAATCAAACACAAATGTGAGCAAGCCGTCCTAGTATCTTCTCCTTAGAATGCTGTTGTGAAGGTTTTCATGCTGTGCCCTTCTTGGTACTTTTTATTTACTACAGTTTTCTTTCCTGTCCGTTACTGGAAAAACCTGGACCATGATGCCTGAACCAACAGGATTTCATCCAGTCCAAGAGCATGTCATACATCCATATATTCAACAGACAACAACCCAGAGACAGGTTGATAGAACCGGTAAGGTTTTCAGTAATAGGTGTAATGATTAGTTTGTATAATGGCCAATATTCCTAAACGCTCATCTCCACCATCATTTTTATTTTTAATAGGCACATGTTGACTAAAGTTAAATAAAGGTGTAACTGTTCATGTACTGTTTGATCGTATGAGTAAAAAAGTACTATCTACAAAATGTGTATACCAGCCATGCCCCCTTACCCTATGTTTACACTTACACCTTTAACCTTAACCCTACACTATCCTAACCCTAAAACAGCTTTAACCCAAACCCAACATGAAAGGGTTACTCCAACCCTTTTGCAGGGTGTCTATTTAAAATGCCCTATTGAGCATTATTAAAGGACCACTACAGTGCCAGGAAAACATACTCGATTTCCTGGCACTATAGTGCCCTGAGGGTGCCCCCACCCTCAGGGACCCCCTCCCGCTGGGCTGGATGGCAAGGAAAGGGGTTAAACTTACCTTTATTCCAGCGCGGGGCGGGGAGCTCTCCTCCTCCTCTCCGCCTCTGATCCGCCTCTTTGGCTGAATGCGCATGTGCGGCAGGAGCTGCGCGTGCATTCAGCCGGTCTCATAGGAAAGCATTTACAATGCTTTCCTATGGACGCTTCCGTGTTCTCACTGTGATTTTCACAGTGAGAAGCACGCAAGCGCCTCTAGCGGCTGTCAATGAGACAGCCACTAGAGGATTTGGAGGCTGGATTAACCCATTTATAAACATAGCAGTTTCTCTGAAACTGCTATGTTTATAAAAAAAAAGGGGTTAATCCTAGAGGGACCTGGCACCCAGACCACTTCATTAAGCTGAAGTGGTCTGGGTGCCTAGAGTGGTCCTTTAACCAGGAACCCGCCTACATTGTGCAGTAAACATGTAAAAAAAAATTTACTTATCTGGAATCCAGCGCCAGGCAAAGCTCCTGATCCTACCTTTCATGCCTCCACTCATCATCAGTCAGGGCCTCGTTCAGTCTAAACACAGACTTCTCATAGCATGCATGCAAACTGAGCCAGTGAGGAGAGATAGGGAGGGAGATTGGGAGGAAGGGTCATGGTGGTTGGAGTAATCCTTTAACCCTTACCTTATCCCTACTCCTAATGAAACCCTCTGCTAATATCAGCAGATGGGTTTCATAGTTAAAACAGGAGAAATCGGTATGTTGCTGCCATCTACTGACAATTTTTAGGATTACTGAAAAAAAGCATGCTCCCTCACTCGATTACAGTGTGATTGGTGCCGGCAGCTGAAAAAGTCCAGCACTAATAACAATCAGCTTTGGAACATCAGACCATGGAGGTCTATCTTCAGCATCCTGCAGCCCTAGAATCACTGCGGATGAGCACACTTGCTCAACTGGTATATTCTCAATGGATTCAAACGGCTGTATGCAGCGCTCAGTTTGAACTCTGCATACAGCTTATAAGCTCATCAGTTTGGGGCCACTAAAATGGGAACACCAGGAATCCATTTAGACTGTAAGCAGGGATTTAACCAATTTAATCTTTATATATCTATAGTAACTCTCAATTTGAGCAATGCATACAGCTCATCTATCAGTTTGGATTCACTAAAAATGAAAGCGGCTGACAGAGGAGAGTCCCAGTTATTGATTAATACCCAGGACTCTCTGGTGTGAGCAGGGATTTAACACAACTCACAAATTGCATGATGTCCTACTCCCTCTTAACAGCTGTCTTTCACTCTGTGGAAGACAGCATGGAATGTCCTAATACTGGGAAGGGGTTAATTACATCGCAAGTCAAAGGTTACAGGCAGCCAAGAACACTGAATTTGTGAATGGTTGACAGTTATGCAAATAACTAATTACGTTCAGTTTGGACATTTAAATGTGTGTTTCTTTAGTTCCAATCAGACATTTTAAATATTCTGCATATCTTTAGTTCTCATGTTAATGATTTTGTTATGTAAATTGAGGTTACAGTATTTACTTATCCTTTAATTGGTATAACTGTTTACAAATGAATTGTTGGTTAATACTGCATGCACACGTAATTAAGTCAGGATAGAGTTATTGTGGTGTTAGCTGTGCTCATGCACACATTCTTTTAAATGTAGGAAATATTTGGATATTGATGAACTATTAAATATGCATTTTAGTGACTTATCTAGTCCTTTTAGGACGTCTTCATGTGGTGGTTTTGGTGCACAGACCCTGTTTCTTCAGTCTGACAAACATAAGCATTGCTACTTTTGACAAATGTCAAGATTCTGAGGGCACTATGGGTAGAGATTTGCACACTGCTTGCTCCTGCACGCTTAACAACAGAGCACGCTTAACAACGGAAAAGCTTGGATTCTTGAGGCTCCTGTCACATGCATGCACAATTTTGAAAATTAGTACAGCTAGATGACAGGCAAAAATCAGCACCATACTATTTTATAGTTCTCGATAGCTCTTTAACTTTGACTTGGCTTTAGCAAGTAAGATCCTGTACAGGCCATTACACTACAATAGTATACTACATATAGGTTATGATGCTGTGAGTTTCTCTTTAGATTGAAGTTAAACATGGAATTATGTTACTATGCCCTAAGTTTCTGTAAATATACATTTTATATTTTAGTTCCTATGGAGAGATTAAAAAGATATATTTTATATGGTATTGTTTATATTGTAAGAATTTTAAATTATTCAAGCAAATAGGCACCATACAGTGTGACAGAAATATGTTCTTAAAAATAGTCAACAAAGTGTATGTTAGCTAGGCCTAATAGTCACATGTAATAAGTACAGTTGCTTGATTAAAATGAGTTTCTGTTGAAATGCAGGCCTCAACTTTTGAGCCATATGTGTTCCTGTATGCAGGAGGGGTAGAAGGGATGACACTTCCATTCACTCGTAGCACTGTTAGCATTTATAATGAATACGTCCTCTCCTCCTTCTCATTTACTACATTTTGTGGATTATGTGCTTACCTTTAATTTTTAGATTGCATTGTATATATAAAGTTAAATATAAAGTTTAACTAATACAAATGTGCATATTTTGTTGAAATGGTAATTGCGAAACTATCTTTTTTGTAAAAATCTTTTTTATTGTCTTTTAAGAGCACAAGGTGTTGACTCTCTTTCTTTCCTTTATCATTAGGTAAGTTGCATCGTGTGACAGGTCAGCATGTTGCAAGAGCCCCTCAGGATAGCTTTGTATCGTCAAACCTGCAAGAGGTAATGCTCCCTGGATTTACCCCATTTACTGTGTCTCCTTACGGACTAGAGGCAGCATTTCCTGCTTCTCATATAAGCACTGCAAGAGGTACGACAAACAGCTATCTACCACAAAATCCACAAGGTGTAGTGGCACCAGGTCCTTCACAGCCTTATGTTGCTCCCTACCATATGTTGTCTTATCCTATAAGTCATGCCACTGGGAAGCAGAGACTTCCTATTGAAATGAGGGCACTGTATCAACCCAATAATTATATAGAAAATCAAGAAAAATCAAAAGTCCAGCTATTGCACATGGCAACTGGACATTACCAGAACCCTATGGTTACAAAGATTTACCCACAGACAAGGCAGTGCACGTACAAAACATCTGCACCACAACATTACCAACAATCACCATTCTTAATCATGGAGCTAAGTGTCCCTTCAGTATCCAAACAATTGGATGTTAAGACTACCAACAACTGCAAGCACATCGATCCATTGCTGCCATCAGACAGTCTGGTATATGACAATGAGGATTTCACCAATTTGGAAGCAGTGGTTAATGCAACTAAACAAAGACATTCTCAAATAAAGAAGAGTACCACTGATGCTCATCAGATGTCCTCGCATTCTTCTTTTAATATGGACTCTCTCCCTGAGGAAATGAAATTGTTCAGATATGAGGATGAGTCAGTCAAGGAACAAGTGAGCAGTATGGACTTCTTTTACTATGTAAGCACATATGGCGTAATACCAAGTGAAGAAGATGCTCCCAAACCCAAAGAACACATTAAACGCTACCAATCAGTTGGTCTAAATCCCCGGGTCTCAGCAGATGCCAAACACAAAAACCTATCTCAAGCTTGGCCTCTGTATCTAAAACGATTTAAACGCCTTTAGGAATCAATGTCCAGGCCAGTGATTTAGACAATTATTAAATCCTTATGGGTGATATAATTTGTGCTCCACTCACCCTAATAAAAATAGTTTAAAACACATGAATTCTATTGTTTTTGGCAAATAAATGTTTAAAGAGTTTTATAAAGGATACAATAACTAATGGGAAAAAATATTAATCATAAGCCAATGCAAAAAATATATTCTTGCACATTCCACAATGCAGAATTTTAATTGTATCTCTCAGAAGGACCATTGTGGAAACAAAATATGACTTCATATAATTTGCTCTAATTTACCTGAGTGAAAGGGAAGGAATATTCTATACACAAAAACCAAACTGATTAATAAAGTGGAAGTTGTTTTGGCACTTAATCATTTAATGATTTATAATCCTTTTGACTTTGCTTTTCTATATATAATATACAAGACCGATAGCTAGCTCATAATAAAAAGAAAAACTTGCAATATTACAGAGCTTTTTCTTGTGCATTAGTTCCCTGCTGGCACGCAAGCCAAAGGTTTGCCATGTCACAGTACTGCATTGTACCTACTGGCCACTCTTGAAATGTCTGCATCTCACATTCGGCTCTATGATTGGCAGCTTCGATTGAAAGCAACATGACCCCTCAGGGACCATTCACATTGTGTCCTCAAGGGAGGTGAGCTATCAGTATGGCTGAGTCCAGCTTCATTTTCTGCTTAAGTACAGGGTAAGGAGCGCAGTGCTCATAAAGTGATATACAGGTGATACTCGAAAAATTTGAATATCGTGCAAAAGTTCATTTATTTCAGTAATGCAACGTAAAAGGGGAAACTAATATATGAGATACACGCATTACATGTAAAGCAAGATAGTTCAAGCCATGATTTGTCATAAGTTCGATGATTATGGCTTACAGCTCATGAAAACCCCAAATCCACAATCTCAGTAAATTAGAATATTACATGCAATCAATAAAACAAGGAGTGTACATAGAACAATATTGGACCTCAGAAAAGCATAAGCATGCATATGTACTCAGTACTTGGTTTGAGCCCCTTTTGCAGCAATTACTGCCACAATGTGGCGTGGCATGGAAGCTATCAGCCTGTGGCACTGCTGTGGTGTTATGGAAGACCAGGATGCTTCAATAGCGGAATTCAGCTCTTCTACATTGTTCAGTCTCATGTCTCTCATCTTTCTCTTGGCAATGCCCCATAGATTCTCTATAAGGGTTCAGGTCAGGCGAGTTTGCTGGCCAGTCAAGCACAGTAATCCCACGGTCATTGAACCAGGCTTTGGTGCTTTTGGCAGTGTGGGCAGGTGCCAAGTCCTGCTGGAAAATGAAGTCAGCATCCCCATAAAGCTCATCTTCGGAAGGAAGCATGAAATGCTCTAAGATCTCCTGGTAGATGGCTGCATTGACCCTGGACTTAATGAAGCACAGTGGACCAACACCAGCAGATGACATGGCTCCCCAAATCAACACAGACTCTGGAAACTTCACACTGGACTTCAAGCATCTTGTAGTGTGTGCCTCTCCATTCTTCCTCCAGATTCTGGGTCCTTGGTTTTCAAATGAGATGCAAAAGTTGCTCTCATCAGAAAAGAGGACTTTGGACCACTGAGCAACAGACCCGGTCTGTTTTTCTTTAGCCCGGGTAAGACGCTTCTGACGTTGTTTGTTGTTCAGGAGCGGCTTGACAAGAGGAATATGACATCTGACGCCCATGTCCAGGATCTGTCTGTGTGTAGTGACTCTTGATGCACTGACTCCAGCCCCAGTCCACTCCTTGTGAAAGTCCCCAACACATTTGAATGGCCTTTTCCTGACAATCCTCTCCAGGCTGCGGTCATCCCTGCTGCTTGTGCACCTTTTTCTTCTACACTTTTCCCTTCAACATAACTTTCTATTAATGTGCTTTGATACAACACTTTGGGAACATCCAACTTCCTTCGCAATTACCTTTTGAGGCTTTCCCTCATTATGGAGGGTGTCAATGATGGTTTTCTGCACAACTGTCAGGTCAGCAGTCTTCCCCATGATTGTGATTCCTACTGAACCAGACTGAGAGACCATTTAAAGGCTCAGAAACCCTTTGCAAGTGTTATGGCTTACTTAGCTGATTAGAATGGGACACTGTGAGTCTAGAATAATGCACCTTTTCACAATATTCTAATTTACTAAGATTGTGGATTTGGGGTATTCATGAGCTGTAAGCCATAATCATCGCACTTATGACAAATCACGGCTTGAACGATCTTGCTTTGCATGTAATGCGTCTATCTCATATACTAGTTTGCCCTTTTACGTTTCATTACTGAAATAAATGAACTTTTGCACGGGGGGAGGATGGGAGAAAGAGTACATTTATTCAGAATATTTTGTGTGTTTTTTTAATATATATATCTACATATATATATTAAAAAATCACTTTTCATGTTCAATTGCAGTGTTGCCATTTTATGATAGATAAATTCCAGTTTGGGCACTAAGATTCAAAAAGTTTCACCATCACTGGCGTACAACTTCCAAAATTCTTTCAATGCAATAAATTACAAGAAAATCATTGGAGTTCTAGTCTGGCAACATCGGTGGGGATAAAAATCTGAGATGCCTGCCCTAAGGTGACCTCGCTGCTTGAGGTCCAGAGATCCTATTCTTGAGGCGCGGAACCTATGCTTACCTATAAAAGTTCCTCCTGGGTGCGGCCATCTTCTGTCTTCAACTGCTGGTGCTCCATCCTCCAGGAGCCACAAGAGTAAAATACAAATGTTTATAAAGGATCTGTACAATGCATAAGGTTATACTACAAGCAGCTGTAACATTTCTTCAAATCATCTTTCCATCATTCCATCTTTTTCACTCCATCACCAACCCAAGCATTTCACATTGGTGGCAATGATAGCAGCTGCATAGTAAGGTGTGGTCACCTCGATGAATAGTGTATTTCTAGTTCATCTACAAACACGTGTCTTGTTACCAGAAAGGATGTGGCATTATTTGATGGCAGCAGTGAGGAACAAGGGAAGTTATTTGTGTTAATAATATCACATAACTGTCAAAATACATTTTTCAAAAATGTCCTGCAATATCTAATCTACAAATATGAAGATAGATGGCCCAGCATGTCACAGGAGGGGAAAGCACTTAACTCATTGAGGTCCCAAGAAAAGTTCCCATTCTTGGCAAGATCATAGATCATTTTGTGAAAAGCAGTCCTTTCATGAATCCAGGTCATATAGACCAGAAAGAGAATTTTCAAGAACATCTTCCTGGAAGGGTGGGCAGTCATTCAAAGGAAACAGAAATCCAGAAGTGGATCTACTGGCGACAGCATCCAATACTCAGCTTCCAATATCTTTCTCCTGAACCTTCCATCCCAAAGCACTAGCCATGGGTGTCTTCTCCAACCCTTGGTCATTTAAACGAGCATATATTTATCCTTCATTTCCCCCAATTTGTAAAACGTTGAAGAAAATCAAGCTAGAACATCTCCAGGTTGTAGCAATTATTCCATACTGGCCATATCCTGGTTTCCCCTCCTCTCGGGGGCGGCCGTGGGCGGGGAGTGGAGGGTTCCCTAGAAAGAAAGAGAGTTCCTGGCTGCCCGGAAAACGTCAGCGGCACAGTTCTGCTACGTCACCTCTATCTTTCTGTTTAAATGTTCCTTTTCCTTTTTACTTATATAATGTAAAACTCTGATAGAATGTGAACATGCCACTTAACACTAAACAAACTAATGCATGCCTTAACAATATGATGTTCATTTCTGTAACGTAAAAGATACATGTATTGTGAACTGGCTTTTGCACAAGCCGTACCATATAGAAATACTATATTTTCTATCAGCGCAAAAATAAAGAATTAAAAAAAACATAATAATTCTTCAGTCAGAGAATTTCACATCCTTATTTCTCTTACTGTGAAAACACACTTTCCTTTGCCTTGGACTAAATCTCCTTTCTTCTAGTCTAAATGCGCGACCTTGTGTTCTATGCATTGTCCTGTTTATGAACAGATTTGTAGACAATGGTTTGTATTGACCCCAAATATAGTTGCATTTGTGCTTTGCACAACCTCAATAAAATTCTGGTAAAAAAAAGACCATTGTCCCATTTTATTCCCATTGTTATGGGAGATTCAATAGAGAACATATTCTAAAGGTTTGTGGGAAAAGATTTGGTGGAATCAAGGTACAATGCTTGTACAGAAAAGAAAAGTCATTTGAGGAAATCCAGATTTAGAGTGATTTGAAGAACCATTGTGAGTTGGTCATCAGCCTGACAAAGGCTATATTTAATATTTTTCCGCTTCCTACCTGAGACTAATTGGTGACCCTATAGCACAATTTTTAGAAACATTGCAACATTTGGTGTTTTATGGAGAATCTGTAGGCATCCAAAATGCATTTGTTTTTTAATTGCATATTGATTGTAGTAATTGATCATTGTTTTAATATTTGGAGGTCTCTGAGGAAGTTTTAGCTGAACAAATCACGTAGGACCTGGTCCTTTTGATAGATTTTTTAATATAATTTTTTTTATAATCCGTTTTTAAAAGCAAATTAAATTATTATAATTTTTTTTTTTAAAGTACCCGGATTCCTGACTTTTCTTGGCTCCTGAACCAAAACAACAGTGAGATTAAGGAAGTGTGCTTAGCCTCCCATTGAGATCAGGGGAGGCACCTTTAAGGCGTTTATAACTTTTCATTTCTGTGAGTGCAACCATAAAGCGTGTCTGATTTTAAGCTGTGACTATATTACACTATGCTTGTTTAAGTTTTTATTCACAGAGCATACTGCTATTTCTGAAATGAACTGAATGAGGTTCAAACTTTAGCCCATCCAAATCAAATATATGGTCCAAAATAAAGCTGCAGGAGATCTGGCATGGTGCCCATTAGCTCTGATATTATTTGGGAGTAATAGACTGAATCCCATTAATTTTGTTTTAGTTAAAGCATTGTATCAGAAAATAACACCAATGTTACTGGGACTACCCAGTCACTCCCATTAGGGTTTAGCATGAGAAAAAACAGTGATATGCATATCCTGTCACTCGTTAGTGAGCCATCAGCTTACTGGATAATATCTTGTGTGTGGCCGGTTAAGGGAAGGACATTTCATTTTTTTTATGAATATGTATTTCTCTAAGTATAAAATTGGTATATATGAGCAGAGAATATTAAATGGGAATCAAGAGATAAGTTTAAACAATGTATATTGACAGAGAATGGTCATGGAAGGCACCCCACAATGCAAATCTGTGTTTAGGGACAGAGAGTTGAAGGTAGCAACACTGGTTTTGGTAAGGCCTCTTAGTGTCAGGGTAACTGGCATCACCCTCAATAAAGGTAGAGTGATAGTTTTTGTTATGCCTTAGAACAAGACAATAATAATAATAATGCTCTAATAATCAATACATGCCAACTCCAAATGGCTTAGCAGGGCTGCCAATATGCTAGGTGTTACTCAATGGGGGTCTCTACCCCCAAACAACTTAATCTCAACATTACTATTACTTACAATGGGCAGCCAGTGACAGACAGTATCAGCTACCCCTCCTGCTCTCATATGGCTGTTGAGCAGAGAAGAGGCAGCTGGTCGTGCGTACAGGTGAGGCAACCTATCTTGTTGTTAAAGTGTTTGTGAAAGGTCTGGAACCATAAGGTAAGAAGGTGCCATCTCCAAAAATATCTTTATTAGGGTGACTTTGTTTTGCGGTGGAAAATCTCACTAACTGCTAATGTATCCTAACCCAAATAATGACTGCTCAACTACTCTTCATCATATACACCTTTTATTCCAATCAGATCCTCTCATTCTCTCATTCTAAATGGCACTATAGAATTCGGTCACTTCCTCCCTCTATTTTTGCTTTCTGTCCAGTTTAAAATAATTGGTTAAATGACATATGTATACAAATGCCCTGGGCTGGTTCCCCTGTTGTCTCACAATAGGAGATAGGTGTGCTCTATTACCATGTCTCATAAATACTATTAGCAGGTGTAGAGATGTGGGGGCCTACACATCTTGCCCATTGTTCCATTCTGGGTGTGCCTACATATGTTCAATCAGTTCATTACATCACACTGATATGTTAATTTCTGTGACCAGAACCTCACATGTAGTTGTGAAAAGTTATACAGGAAAAAAAAAACCTGTAATTGATAATATTGGTTCACATATACGACCTTGTGTCACTGACAGTTTCATTCAGGTCAGTACACTCCATAGGTTAATAATGCAATATAGCCTCTTGCCTTTCCCCAATTCTTTGAGTGTTTATATTATAGTCTGGAAACCTATATATACACCTTTTCCTGGTTCCTCTCTTTATGTCATTCTGTGCGCAAGATGAAAACATGCTTATTTTTACAGTTTAAGATCAATTGGATTGGACAAGAGGTGAGATTTCTCTCTGTCCCATCCTATTGTTCTACATTTGAGGCATGCCAATATATGTTAAATACATTTACTCTTATATACATTGTGTGGCCCAGATCATAAATCTATTTAAAGCTTAGGCGTTGTGGATTGGGAAATGATCATAAGAAACTACTCATGGGCACTTGGACATACTAAGGAGACGATCAATCAAAGTACCTCAGTCTTTGTGTTGGACAGGCTCTGACTGGACCCTCCTCCTTATATATTGAACCTTAGGCACACCCTCTGTCTAGGTTGTCCACACCTTCTGGTGATATTACCACGTGAGTCAATCCACCAATGTGAGGTGCTGGCTTTACATACGCATGGCTTCTCTATGCACACCTGACAAACCTGGAGTTCTAGCATGAGCAAAATGATCATCAGGCACCAGCAACACGCTTTTCCTTTTTCATTCTGATACTTGTGCTAGTGTTATGAGGCCATCTCGAGGAAAAAACTTTCATTAGCATTTCCTTTAACAGCCATAGGAAGTAGGTAGGATGTTAGTACTGTTATATATGATACTTTTTTTTTATACCTTTTGACATGCATGAGAAACTCTGTTCATGTATTTTACAAGTTTTTTTTCAACCTCATGTAAACTTACCGGTAAATTCAGTTTGGCATTAACTATTGAATAGAGTGTAAATAATAAAGGTAATGTTTTATTAAATTGGCATTTCACATTCTATTTCATTTTAGTGGGAAATGGGTAATACCCATGTTTATAGAACTCACTGGCAATGTATGAAGTAAATTTGGAGGAATTTATATTGTGAATAGAGTGGGTGTGTATAAATAAGTAGATATCCTACATACACCACATTCCACCACACCTGGTTTATTGGGGTTATCATTCACACAGAGAGTGAGCCTGTCTACAGCTCCACCGAGCGCAGAGCTGCAGACTGACAGGGTCTCTCGATCTCACCCAATCAGAGCGTTGCCGCGGGTTACCACGGCAACGCTCTGACTGGCTGAGATCGCGAGACTAAACTTACCACGTGGTCTGCAGCTCTGCACCTGGCAGAGCTGCAGACCTTAAAGGGAGCCCACCGGACCACCAGAGATACAGCCTGGCCGCCCACTGGACCACCAGGGAATAAGTTAATCCTAAGGTATTTATGCCTCCTCTCCCCACCCTGCCCTTCTACCACCCTCTTCCCCAGCCACCCCACCACCACCACTGCCCCACCCACCCCACCACTACTGCCCCAGCCACCCTATGCCCCAGCCACTCCACCACCACTGCCCCAGCCACCCTCTGCCCCAGCCCTCCTACAACCCCCTGCCCTGTCATAGCCCCCCACCGCCCCAGCCACCCTCTGCCCTCCTACCACCCCCTTGCCCAGCCACCCTCTGCCCTCTTACCACCCCTTGCCCCAGCCACCCTCTGCCCTCCTCCCATCCTATGCCCCCTACCATCCCCTGCCCTGTCACAGCCACCCTACCACCCTCTGCTCCCTAATACCCCGTACCCTGTCACTGCCCTCCTTCCACCCCCTGCCGAAGCCACCCTCTGCCCTAGCCACTCTCTGCCCTCCTACCACTCCACTACCCTGTCGCTGTCCTCCTACCACCCTCTGCCCCAGCCACCCTCTGCCCTCCTACCACCCCACTACCCTGTCACTGTACTCCTGCCACCCTCTGCCCCCTACCATCCCCTGCCCTGTCACAGCCTGTATATACAACTGCAAGGCTATGTAACCATACCCCTCAGTCATGTATAAACTACTGGCATCATTGCTAATTAAATTTGTTTATTGCAAATTCAGTTAGTTCGCATATTATGCCATAACTACAGTCAGAGAGATCATAATGCGGCGGCACAGGGAGCCGCAACACTGCAAGCCTCTGAACGATGAATACAGAGACTAGCTCTCTGTATCCAGCGCTGCAAGTTTGTCCTTAAATACAACAACAGCACCTTATACACACAATGCAACCCCTATTTTCAACTTTAGGTGTTAGTGGGGGCCTCATGTTTGAGTTTCGCCTAAGGCCTCACAAAGTCTAGAGCCGCCACTGACTGCAAGGAGTATGTTTTATATGCTATCACGCACTTCATTTGGCTAAAGTTGTTAGTTACCCTTTAATGTAATCTCTCTATACATTTATACTCTCTTTTACTTACATGTTTGCTTTATTTAGAGCTCTTCAATTAAAATACATATAAGCACCTTACAGGTTTCTCAAAAAATTTTGGTTGGTGAATTAGAACAGTAATGTTAATTGTATACACGAAAATAACAGTTTTTCTTGAGCACCATGGTAAAGGGATATATACATATATAATAATAATATAGAATAAACAGAAACATAGAATGTGACGGCAGATAAGAACCATTCGGCCCATCTAGTCTGCCCAATTTTCTAAATACTTTCATTAGTCCCTAGTCTTATCTTATAGTTAGGATAGCCTTATGCCTATCCCACGCATGCTTAAACTCCTTTACTGTGTTAACCTCTACCACTTCAGCTGGAAGGCTATTCCATGCATCCACTACCCTCTCAGTAAAGTAATACTTCCTGATATTATTTTTAAACCTTTGTCCCTCTAATTTAGACTATGTCCTCTTGTTGTGGTAGTTTTTCTTTTTAAAATATAGTCTCCTCCTTTACTGTGTTGATTCCTTTATATATTTAAATGTTTTATCAATCCCCCCTGTCTCGTCTTTCCTCCAAGCTATACATGTTAAGATCCTTTAACCTTTCCTGGTAAGTTTTATCCCGCAATCCATGAACCAGTTTAGTAGCCCTTCTCTGAACCCTCTCGAAGGTATCAATATCCTTCTGAAGATACGGTCTCCAGTACTGAGTACAATACTCCAAGTGAGGTCTCACCAGTGTTCTGTACAATGGCATGAGCCCTCTTTCTACTGCTAATACCTCTCCCTATACAACCAAGCATTCTGCTAGCATTTCCTGCTGCTCTATTACATTGTCTGCCTACCTTTAAGTCATCAGAAATAATCACCCCTAAATCCCTTTCCTCATATGTTGAGGTTAGGACTCTATCAAATATTCTGTACTCTGCCCTTGGGTTTTTACCAGACACACTTAGAAATGCTACAACGCACTTTCAAATAAGCAACAGGATTTGATCAATTGTCATGACATATGTTCTATAAAGTATTAAGTACGTGAGTGTAGGGGACGTCTCGTGTGGGATTTACTAACTGCGCATAAAGGAGAAGAGCAACTAAATTTATATCTTTTTTTTAAAATATTTAAAAACTTTCAATAAAGTTTATTCCCCCTCACTCTTGCTTCCTTGAGCCAGGGAGATGGGGAAAATTATCCCTGGCGGACAGTGCTTGGCTGTTCTGGTGAAGGTGCAGACCTTGTATATTCTTGTTGCGAGTTCTAGCTCTCTGATAGTGTCACAGTTGTCCGCAGGTTACCACAGCAGCGGACTGTTACTATCTGTGATAGTACTTCAGCTTGCAAGAGATATATGCAATATCTGCACCCAACAAAGGTGCAGACCAAAAGCCCAAGCATCCCATGAAGGGACGGGGTTGGTCAGCCAGTGTCACATCCTCTGATGGCATCACCTGGTGTGGTCTGCACCCACTTAATGACACCACTTCTTAATATGATTGCATTTTACCTTGGTTCCTTTTCACGGATTTTCGATTAGATATTGAGTTCATGCATTCGTTGTATTCCAGTGTAGGAAAATAATCAAATTAATTTTCTGTAAAATTCCAATTACAGAAACATTCCACTTGCATTGGTTCCTCTGGTTTTTTCAAGTGTAAGACCACTAAAGTTGTACTTTATTTACAATTTATTTTCTCAAAGGTTTTACACACATATTCTATTGTGGCTAGGATTTTTATGTACACAGTGTGTGGAAATGTAAAAGTATAGAATGAATAGCACATATATGTAAAATACAAAGATGCTGAAAAGGTCAGGTGAAACGTTGAAGGGAATGCAAACAGAATAAAATAAAAATGGTCAAAATAAGTTAAACAACATTCATCAGTGCAATACAAGTTACAGTACTATGCTGAAAAAAGAATTATCATACAAATAATTAAAGCATAACATAATGAAAAGAAAAGTTTGTTTAGGCTTTGGCATGGATAAAGGCAAGCACTTTTTACATGGGTAATAAAACGATGGTGAGGAAAGTGTGATAATGGCTTTTAGAACGTAAAATTGATCTAAAAAGATTTCTTCCTTGCCACAGGAGTCCGGCCATTTGTCAAGCAGAGTGACAATAAAAATAATGCACCCTAAATAATTACAAAAGGAGACCAGAAACAGGAGCAGTTCCAATCATCAGAGAACAGACGATCTCAGTTCCAAGTGTCGGGTCCAGCAGCAGCAGAGAAGGCATCAATAAAGAGATTTTTTCTTGCTAAAGTTTTACTCCTGTTAGAGAGTTGAAAAGGCATTTCTCTTAAACTGAAGAAAAATAGACAGTCTAATCATAGATAGCATAATACATATATTATAGAGTTTCAGAGATTGAAAATATAGGAATATAGAGAATAGGTGTTAAAAAGGGCACCATAAAAGATTTATTAGAATTAGGTTGTTTTGGTGTGAGGTGTGTCCGAGCACAAAGGCTTACCTCAAGGAGTTAAACCATTCGTTAAAGGTTTAAGTCCTTGAGGTAAGCCAGCGCCTGGCACCTCCAACCCATGCAGTAGAACCTGAGACATCTAGAGAAAGAGACCAGAAAAAAAAAAATCAGCAAGGAGAGGCAGGGTCTTAGGACTTGATAGTACAGTATAAAACTTAATCACTTGGTCTGAGAACAATATTTTCTTTATAAAGACGGTTCCTTAAGACGTCTTGGCAATGATTCCAGACATGATTACACTGGGAGTATATCTAATGTTAAACCATCCTACCATTACCTTGTGTGGAGGGAGATCGCTTTGACTTGACGACTGTTTGGCATTTTGAATCTGCTCCTGTAAGATAAATCTTGTGATATACCATAGCAACAAATAGATTTGTAACCACTATTGCAAAAGCAGAGAGATACCTGCAGAGATTATCCATGCAACCATATACACAACTAACAATGTATACATTTAGATGCAGGACAAATCTAAAAAGTGTACACAAATTGATATAGTAAACTGAATATTATATTTGGGTATTAGAAGCCATTATATATGAAATATAAATAAATATATATATATATATATATATATATATATATATACACACACACACACATTACAATAAGTTGTCTTTTAGCTCTAGTAGACCTGCCACACTCCTGATGATTTGCTCATTTTGGTAATGTAAGGGCTACTAATGTGTCATGGGAATTACAGTTTTACAACAGTTGTGGGACTACCTGTTGGCCATCATTGATTTACAGAGAGATCAGGTATCCTACACATTTCCAGCTGTTCATGAACAACCACTTTAGCTTTTAGCTGACTGGGACTAGTCATCTGGCATCCTCTAGAACCACATTTTTGCACTGTCTCAAATTGTACACTAATTTAAAATATCTTTATTAGGGGTTCTAGCTCTTTTATTTGCAAATATTCAACTTATGTATATGCTGGTTCTTTGCAACATAAGTTAGATCTTATGTATAGGGCATTAGTTCAACTGTAAAATTAGCTTGGTAACTCATTCTTCAATATTAATAATGTCAAAAAGGTCACCAATGCATTGTGGAAAGCAGAAGTGTTACAAAAAACAGTTTCAAGCAGTTATTCAGATGTGAAGAAAAAGATGTGTTTCATCGAGCAAGGATCCACCAAAAAACGGTTGTAAGACTGCTTCTGGCCCTGACCCTTCAGCTCCAAACTATTGAGAAAAATATATATTCACCTTAATTTTCTTGACTTCTGCTTTTATATCGGAGTGGTCCTGCTGTTCTCTTTCCTCTAGAATGGAAATTACCTTTAATCAGAACAGGAAGATAATGATTTATTTTATAATATTATGGAGTAATCAAGGATTAAGTTGTATAGTTGCATGCAGAGTATTGATAAATGTATAATCAAGGGTTGCATGTAAGGGCATTATTATGGTATGGGCATCTGATGATTACTAAACCACCAGATACAGGAGCAGAGAGGATGCAGAGGTACAAGCGATAGGATACCATTTTTTTGTTTTGCTTTAGTCCCTGCCATGGATTAACAAGGGCCTTCAGAGGAATGCTATTAATTGGCAGAATGACAACTAACATATCTAAAGTAACTAATTTAATGATTCTAAAAGCTGTGGCGATCAATAGGTCTCTATAAACAGTTTAAAAGCTAGTTCAGTTTATTGACTGAATATCCTCAAGTGTCTACTAATAACCACAAGACAATATGGTACTTATTCCATTTCATTAGAATATATAGCTGCTTTTCTTGGTTCATATTACATCATATAGCCAAGTCACAAGATTTGAGATTACAAAAGAATGTTAAAGACAGATCCATCCAGCAGTTTTGAAGTACCTGGGTACAAAGCCTCTCTTGGTATTCTTGCAGGGCAGCCGACACTTTAGAAACACGAATATTCTAAAAATAACGAGAGAACAATAATGTAAAACTATATAAAAAACTATTAAAAAATAAATAAAATCACCCATTTAGTTGGAAAAGAGAGAAAAGATGAACAAAACATTCATTATAATTAATTATTAAATGAACAATAAAAACCCTTCTAGGAGTTCCTGACCTCATAGTGGATTATTGGATATCATATTGGTATCAAGAGAATTGCTGCTTTAAAAAACACATGAGGGGTAACCAAATGAATAAAATAAATAAATAAAGAAGAGTATTGCCTCAGCTGGAGCAAGTAGAGCCAAAGGTAACCCAAGGGAGAAATTAGGTGTAGCGGAGATGCAATATTCCCCAGGTTAACTCCGCTTGTAATCCAAGTGAGGCTCAGGAACAAGTAAATAATAAATCCAAAGGCAAGAGTTCCAGCAAGTAGAATACAGCAATATCCCAACAGCAATCCCAATAACTGGACGACACACAGTTTCAGGAGCAGAACTGACAAGCCTTTAATCACAGTCTCCTTATAAAGCATGCTCCCATGCAAGGGAGGGATTTACAGTAATTATTACAGTAGCCAATCCTGTCCTGGTAACCTCCCACATATCTCCTCCCCTCAGCCAGCATCATAATCCCCTTATCCAGTACACCAATTCCCCCCGTTTCTGGATGTACCCCTAAACGTAGGGGTACCTCTTTAAATCCTACATCCCCTGGTAGCCTTGATCTGGGTGAACAACATATCCAAAAACCACCCAGATCAGACCAGGGGTTCGGGAAAAGTATGGAGGAAATAAAATGACCGACCGCACGAACTGAGATAGCCGAATTCGGTTCCATGTGAATGGGCCCTGCGGTCGGTCCTGGCATAAGGGAATAAAATACACAAACACCTCTAGCTATAGAGGCTAGGGAGGGTTCGCCTGAATCCCCTCGTTCGGTATTCTCTATCTACCGAACGAGGGGCCGTTCGGTAGTTTGGAACCGAACGGACCAGGGCTGTGGAGGTCTCAGCGGTGTTCGCCTACTCGAGTGTCCGATTTTAGTTCCAGACACTCGACGGCAAAACACCGCTGTTCGGGAGTTTTAAAATGGCCGCCGCCACGTGTTCGTTTGTCGAATGGCGGCCACCCCCGAGAACAAAGGACGGCTACTTACTAGTTCAATTACCCGTTCGCAACAATGTTGCAACGGGTAATTGAGGACACACTTCACACAGGGGAGGTCTGGTTGTTCGGTAGTTTCATTCGAATAAACTAAGGGAATGAAACTACCGAACAATCACAAGAATACAAGGCTTTAAAACACATAGAAAACTAGCAGATCACACGAATGCAATTATTTCAAAGACATTTGCAGGACAGCCCAGTGCCATCCGCTACACTGCTCCCCCTTGCCCACAAGCCGGCATACACAGTCTGATCCAACACGGATCGGCTTGGGGATGTCCGGGGACTCACGGATCATTTCTCCAGGTCAGTTTGTCTTGACAACCCGTCGGCATTCCCATTCTGTTTACCCGGGCGGTACTGAATATTAAAGTCAAAAGGCTGCAGCGCCAAACTCCAGCGCAGCAGCCTGGCATTGTCCCCAGCCACCCGGTTTAGCCATACCAGCGGGTTGTGATCCGTGAGTAACGAAAAAGGCTGTCCATATAGATACGGCTGTAGTTTCTTTAAGGCCCACACCACAGCCAGGCATTCCTTCTCGATGGCGGCGTAGCTTACTTCTCTGGGTAACAGCTTGCGACTGATGTAAGCCACGGGGTGTTCTCCGCCATCGGCTCCGACTTGGCTCAGTACTGCTCCCAATCCAAACATAGAAGCGTCTGTGTGAACAAGAAAACGTTTAGTTGGATTGGGAGCTGCCAAGACAGGAGCATTTATCAGTGCATTTTTCAGATGTTGGAATGCCTGCTCACACTCCGGGGTCCAGGTCACCTGGCGGGGCAAATTCTTCCGAGTAAGGTCAGTGAGAGGTTTGGCGAGGGCGCTATAGTTAGGGACAAACTTCCTGTAATACCCAGCGGTCCCTAGAAAGGCTAACACCTGGGTTTTAGTCCTAGGAGTGGGCCACTGGGCCACGGCTTCTACCTTGGCTGGTTCGGGCTTCTGTTTGCCGCAACCCACTCTATGTCCGAGGTACTGCACCTCGGCCATCCCTATGCTGCACTTGGCCGGTTTCAATGTCAAACCAGCTTCCTTAATCCTGTCTAAAACCGCTCCTATATGGGCCAAGTGCTCCTGCCACGTATTGCTAAAAATGGCAATATCGTCCAGGTAGGCACAGGTGTAGTCTTGGAACCCATCCAGGAGTCGGTCTACCATCCGCTGGAAAGTAGCTGGGGCGTTTTTCATCCCAAATGGCATGACCTTAAACTGGTACAAGCCAAATGGGGTGACAAAGGCCGATTTCGGGATGGCCTCTGGGGCCAGGGGGATTTGCCAATACCCCTTACATAAGTCAATGGTAGTGAGGTATTGACCCCTGGCCATTCTGTCCAGTAGTTCATCTATCCGTGGCATAGGGTATGCATCGGACACCGTTTTCTCGTTTAATCTCCGGTAGTCTACGCAGAAGCGGGTCGTACCGTCCCGCTTCGGTACGAGTACTACCGGAGAAGCCCAGGGACTATCTGAGGGCTCAATCACCCCCAGTTGGAGCATCTCATCGATCTCCTTGCGCATGTTTTCCCTTACCGCTTCGGGGATGCGGTAGGGGGTCTGACGCATCGGTAGTTGCCCTGGGGTCTCTACCCGGTGAGTGGCCAGAGGGGTGTACCCAGGTACATTAGAGAACGTGTCTCGTTTCTCCTCCAACAGCTGCTGTACCTCGATGCGCTCCTGTGGGCTCAGCCGGTCTCCCAGTGTGACTTCCCCT